AAAACAGGTATTATGGATAGTATTCCCCCCACCCCACCCCCACACTACTCCTCTCGCGAGGGTGGGGTGGCACACACTCCCTCTCCGCGGCGGTGCTTGCGGCTCGTGCGAGGCGCTGATTGCGCTGACTGCGGTGTGCCACCGCGGAGGAGGGCGTCACCCCTCTTGAGAAAGGCGTCCGAGCGGGGGGGAAGGAGAGGGGGCAGGAGAATGAGAGGGGGGTGGGGGGGGGGAGGGGGAGGGGCAGGGGGGGGGAAGGGGGAGGGGCGTCCCTCCTCTTGAGAAGGGGCCGAGCCCATATCTCCCCTATCTCCCCTATCTCCCCATATCTGACAGCGTACCCTCCTCTCGAGAGGGGATACTCTCGGCTACTCTCAGCTACTCTCGGCGTACTCTCGGGCAATCTCGGGTGATCTCCTCTGCAGGCGTACCCTCCTCTCGAGAAGGGTCCGAACGGGCTGCCCGCGCCGCTGCCGCTCTCCGCGCAGAGCGTGCAGACCAACGTCGCCTACCTCCTCGACGACGGCGAGCCCCTGCACCTCTGGCTCGGCCGGGACGTGTCCGGGGCACGTCCGTGACATGTCCGAGACATGTCCGACAGGCGCGCAGCTGAGCCTCTGGTTCGGCCGGGACGTGCCGTCCGAGATGCTGCAAGCCGCCTTCGGGTGGCCGTCGCTGCAGGGGGTCGACCTGGCGACGCTGCGGCTGCTGCCGCCGAACACCTCGCCCGTCGCCGCGGAGATCCACGCCCTCGTCGACGCGGCGCGTGTCGGCCGGCCTGCCGGGTGGACGCCGCTGCGCGTGCTAGTGCAGGGCACCAGCGACGCGCCCTTTGTGCGCGCGCTGATCGAGGACCAGACCAAGCAGATGATGAGCTACCCCGAGTTCCTGCTGCACTGCCACCGCTACATCCTCAGCAAGGCGTGAGGGCGCGGCCCAGCGTGCGGACAGAGGAGCGCGGCTCGCGGGCGTGTTCGGGGGTAGATGAGACGGCGCTGTGGGGGGGGGGGGGGGGGGGCTGGCAAGTGGGTGTGCGGCAGGGCGGAGGTGTGCCTCCGTGCGGCTCGTGCAGCTGCCTCGGCGAGCTGCGAGGCTGTCGAGGCGGCTCCGCAGGAGCCCCGTCACGCGCGCCGCTCCGCGACGTGTCCCGAGTTGCGTGGGGCTCTCCGGCCGTTTGAGAGGGGGGAGATAGAGTACGGATGGTCGTAACAGCAAGTTTTTATGTCGTGACATGGCGCACAGGTGCATCAGAACAGAAGTGTGCAATGACTACCACTACACACCGATGCGGAATCGGGGACAAGTCCTCAATGCACAAAGAATCTCAAAATTGTCATGCGCAGGTGGTTGTGTTTATGGCAGGGTGCATGCGAATACGGGCGGCATGTCACTGTGTTTACATCAATCTACATGCAGGATGCGGACGCTCGGGCTGACCGGCAGACCGGAGCCGTATCAAGACACAGTGGGGGCGATTGCAGGCGCGGGTACGACAGTGATGCAGGACTCGATCATGGCGAGGCCGCGGCTGCAGAACGTGGGGCAGGTGGCGCTGGAGAGGGCTGGTGTAGAGGCGGGGGCCGGGGCGGGGGCGCCAGTGACGGTGCTGCCAGCACCCTTGGACCGGCGCAGCCGCTCGAGCTCTTGGATGAGGAGCTGCTGTCGCCTCGCCAGCTGCAGGATCGCCTCGCGCTGCTGCATGAAGGCGCGCGCCTCGAGCGCCGTGGCCAACAGTTGGGATGGCTCTCCGACCACCGAGGCGAGGCTCTGCCGGGGACGTGCGGAGGGCGGCGAGATGTGCTGCTTTCGGATGGAGGCCCCCACGCGGGCCGTCAGGTCACGGCGCGGTGGATCCTCAAACGAAGAGGCCCTCTGCAGCCGAGGGGGGCGCCTCGCCTTGCGGTCTGGCTGGGGAGACTCAGGCTGGACCCGGAGGGCCTCGAGTATCGTGTCCAGCTTTTCCTCCGCGGGCTTGGCGTTGGGGATGCAGCGCTCGAGAGGCGGCGCACCGATCGTGAACGAGGGCGCGAGGGGCCCCGATCGCGCGCGAGGGCGCGCCTTTGGTTGATGGGTGTCTGTCGATGGCGACATCTCAGCAGCCCCTAGGGGGCGCATCGTACTGTGGGTGATGAGCGAACAATCAGCGTGCTTCGGTTACATCGGTTTGGCTGGTGTGCAACCTCCAGATTACATGCTCAGAACGCCCTCGGCAGCGCGAGCTCGCTTCGATTTCGTGGAGGATGTGTGCCGAAGCGGAGATCCCTTCGATGAAATCGTGATTCGCCCTCAGCAGTCGCCTCCAGCAGGCCGAGGCTGCGACTGAACTCTGAATGGAACTTCTACCGAGAAAGAAAGCTGCTCGGGAGTGCCCAAGCTCATCGCCCTCCCTGTCAGCAGTCCAGTCAGTCAGTCTTACACACCTCCAAGCATGGAGGACGGGCCCACACGCACACACACGCTGCACACGATTGGCTCGGGAGCCGACACGAGGCACACACTGTCACCGGCTGTAGCACCGGGTCCGGAAGACTGCTGGACACACGGCACACAGCTCACAGAACAGCTCACGAGGTGGCGCTGTATAGTGGGGTTCTCAGGGACCGACACAGGAGAAGAAGGTGGGGCACAGGGACAGGACACAGGACTCACGAACTGATATCCCAACCCGCGCCAGGGGCGGACGGGCACAAGCGCCTGACCTGCAGTTCGAGTCGTCTCCGTTGGCTAATGCAGACGTGAGCTTCAGGTTGTAATCCTGGCCGTCATACGTGCCGACCTTGTCTATCAGTGCCCACTTGTCACTGTCCGAATTCCGGCCGCCTATGTTATTGTGCGAGATGCCAGCCGGTGCACCAAAGGTGATGGTCACTGCGTCACATTCTGAAAGCCGGCGTCTCATGCGGAGGGTTGCGTTGTGGCAAGCGAGGACGAGCCAATGCAGGACACGTGTGGATGCCCTCTGCTGTCAAACGCCAGACGCGTGGCCTCGTCGGTTTCGCCACCAACGGACGCACGAGGAGGCCCGGAGATCGAAAGGGCTGCGGGAGGAAATTTCCGACCACAGCCGCGCTCCTGCCCCTTGTCCCTTGAGGTCACTCCCACTCGCCGGCGCGTCGGCCGTGGCATCGGGCCATGATCGGCGGGGCGGCGGGCGGGCGGGCGGTTGTCTCAACCCACCGCGCGGCGCACGTTCATGAATGAAAGTCGTTCATGCTTACAAACACAGAGGACCTTACTCACCGTCCTTACCTCCTGTGTGCTCCTGGACCGCGTGCCTGAGCTCGGCACGACTGACTGACTGTGGGATGTAGGCCACCGCCGGGGCCGCCAGGGTGCGCTCCGGTTGCGGTGGCGCGGCGGCGCGGCGGAAGATGACCTTGTTGCGCCCTGCGACCGGGAGGAAGCCCGCCTCGAGTCCGGGCGCCTTCTGCAGCAGGTAGTCGCAGAGAGCAGCCGTCGTGCGCACGGCGCCCCCACTGGCGAGCCGGCGCTGCGGAAAAAGGCGCGGGAAAACGCAGCAGGGCACGACGGCAAACGGGCGGCCATACTTGAGCGCGGCGTCGACGATCGGCTCGGTCGCCTCGTCGGCGTGCAGCCCCACCACGCACGCCGCCTCGCGCAGCAGCCGCGCGCCCTCGTCGCTCTCCTCGAAGCGTTCGTCCAGCAAGTCGCGAATGTGGCGGTACGGGCCGAGGCCGCCCTCGCCCTGCTTGCGCAGCCACCTGCGCTGCCGGCTGTCCAACCGCACCTCGCGAGGCTCGAGCAGCGTCGTGCGTACGCCGTTGCGGCACTGCAGCTCGAACGCCAGGTCGCCGCCGCCGCCCGCGACGTCGAGCACGCCCGCACCGCCACGAAGCGCCTCGGTACCAAATATTTGCAGCAGCCACGACGCAAACTCGGCGTGCCGCTTCGCGTGCGATCTCTTCTTGCCGCCGCCGCCGCCGCCGCCATCGCCATCGCCATCGCCGCCGCCGCCGCCGCCGCCGCCGCCGCCGCCAGCAAACGGGTCGGCCGCATCCTCGTGCGCGCGGCGCTGCGCCGCCCAGCGCTCGCGCGTCGCCCGCACTGTCGCCTCCTCATGCTCGTTGGCGAACTGGTGCCGGAAGGGGCAGCTGGCCGTGCTGCACGCGCCGCGCACAAACCACTTGCAGAGCGCCGCCTCGCTCGGCGCCGGTGGCGCGGGCCCGCCTGCCTCCGCGGCGTCGCACGGCACACAGAGTGTCAGCTCGACCAGCCGGTCGCACTGCCACGCGCGCAGCCCGCGCCGCGTCCGAGCGGCCTCCTCGGTGCCCGTGAAGCGGAGGAGGGCGCCGTCGACAAGGGCTGTGGCGCTCAGCTGAGACACGGCGAAGCAGAGCTGCCACTCCTCGCCGTCGGCCTGAGCGTCAACGAACACGTAGCGGCTGGGAATCGAGCGCCAGCGCAGCACGCGCGCCGCGAGGACAGGCTTGTCGGCTATTTCGACTCGTGCGCAGGGCCAACCTGCAATCTCTGCGCCACAGTGCGCGCCGCCAGCGTTGCCTGCCAAAAGAAAGGCAAGTCGGCTGAGGGTCCGCGGTCTTCTTTTTTTCGTTTCTGGGTATTTTCTGGGAAGAGCTTTCGCTACCGCCTTCGTAACATGCGAGGGGCTGAGCTGTAAAGGTTTGGACCATCCGCGTGTTATCAAAGCGAGAAGACGCACACACTGCGGAAATTCGCACTCACCCCCCACTGTCGCCAGACTGTGAGAGGCTATAGGGGAGGAGGGTGGGAGACCATAGCTCCCGCGTTCCCGTCGGGCTCCAAAGCAGGCATAGCACAAGCCGCCGCCAGGCGCGCTTGCGAAACACCGACGGCAAACGTAAATTCGTAGGCGCCCGACGGAATTAATCCCGATTAGGCGCCCGCGACACACTGAATACCCCGGGCGGGCCTCCGCTCCGGGGCTGCTCTATCTCCATTGTCTGCACGCAACCATGGTTATGCCCTTCACACCCCCAGCCCTCGTGTCACCGTTGTCCAACACCTTTTGGGTGTCACACTGCAGTAACATGCGAGGGGCTGAGCTGTAAAGGTTTGGACCATCCGCGTGTTATCAAAGCGAGAAGACGCACACACTGCGGAAATTCGCACTCACCAAGCTGCAGAGGAAGACGCCCAAGCTGAAAGCAAGTCCCAACGTTGCACGCAAACTTGGGACGCCCCTCGAACCTCGGTGACACGAAGAACCACTATTCCATCGCATTGATGGCAAAGTCCGAGACCTCCTCGAGGCCCGGCATGGAGTCGGAGTCGGAGGCGCCTGAAGAACAAGAGGCTCCCGATAAATGCCCGGCGCGATTGGCCCACATACCGTGGGATGAGCAGGGACAGGTAGTCGCTGCCCCTGGTGGTCGAGGGTCGCGACCCCCCCTTCTTGTCGCCCGTGGTGTGGTGCTCACCCCCACCTGTCAGCAACAGAACGTAGGCCGTGGTCACAATGAGCGCGGGCAGGACGAACTCGAGAATCGCCCTGGGGTACTTGGAGGGGCTGGTGGCGGTGAGAGCTGCGCTCATGACGCAGCCGGAGGCCCCGCCAACCGTAATGGGTAGGCTGAGTTGGTCTGACTCCATGGTGAGGTTGTTGCCAACTAGCCCCGGAAAGCCTTGCATCAACACGAGGCAAAGGGCACCGACTGCGGGCCACGAGGCAAAGCCTCGGCCCCACGAAGGCCAGCCCATGTCCCAGACCATAGCTCCCGCGTTCCCGTCGGGCTCCAAAGCAGGCATAGCACAAGCCGCCGCCAGGCGCGCTTGCGAAACACCGACGGCAAACGTAAATTCGTAGGCGCCCGACGGAATTAATCCCGATTAGGCGCCCGCGACACACTGAATACCCCGGGCGGGCCTCCGCTCCGGGGCTGCTCTATCTCCATTGTCTGCACGCAACCATGGTTATGCCCTTCACACCCCCAGCCCTCGTGTCACCGTTGTCCAACACCTTTTGGGTGTCACACTGCAGCACCGCCACCACCGGCACCTCGCGGGACAGTCGATGCCGCTCGCTCTCTGCCAAGTCGCCGCGCTGCTCGGATTCAACGGCCACGGCCCACTCCTGGCCTCGCGCTCGCCTCCTCGCGGCGCCACCCGCAGCGACGGCCGTTCTGGCCCAGAGCCGCTGCTCTCGCCGTACCTTGAGGAGCGCAAGGTGGAGGCGCTATTCGGGTGGGTGAGCCGCGCCTTTGCGGGCGACGAGCGGTACAACAATTTGATGGATGCCTTTGCGGCCATCTTTGGCGAGGACGCCAAGTACGCGTCGATGGTGGAGCAGGCCGTAGCCTCTCTGCCCGGCGAGAGCGACGAGGTGGGAGAGCCGCTGCCGCTGGAACTGCGCGAACGCGGCTCGCTCGGCGCGATGGGCGCGGGGCAGTGGACCGGCAGTCCGCACCGGGTCGTGGAGCCTTTCTCTGGGCCCTTGTCGGACCCTTTCTCTGGCTTTCGTAGGCCAGTTCCGCACGCGGCCTCACGCCCTCCTCGACGTGCGCCGGCTCGGCAGCGTGGAGGAGTGGGTCAGCAGCTTGCCGCGCGGCGCGAGGCGGACGCTGGCAAAGGCGCAGCAGCAGGGCTTCGAGGTGCGCTGGGGCCTTGCGCTCTCAATGCCGTGCGAGCTGCTATCTGGGCGTGGAGATGGGAGGGACTAGCCTGGCCCTAGCCCCACCGCCCTCGTGTGTGTGTGTGGAGAAGCTTCCCTCACCTTGCCTTAGGTGCGCGTGCGCCCCATCCAGGGGGGCGAGCCGGCGCCGCACTCGACGCTGGCGCACTTCCGCTGCGTCGTCGCGCACGAGGTGCCGCTGCCAGCCAAATCGCCGCGATATCGTCCAACTCTCGGCGCTCCCTCCCAGCTCACTCCCAGCCTCACTCCCAGAGCTCGTGGGTGTGTGGAGGTGCCCGGCTGGCTCACCAGCGGGCTCACACAAGGACACAACAACACAGCAGAGTGCACAGCGACGGGCTCAGGTCGCACACACGCTCAGTCGCGAGGTGACAGAGTCGCGAGGTGACGGAGAGGTGACAGAGAGCGACGACAGTCGGAAGACACGGAGTCCCGGGAAGGCGAACGCGATCACGGCCTCTATGCGTGTGAGCTCTAGCTAGTGAGCTCCAACGCAGCGGGGTCACCAGCAAGCGGCTTGTGCCCGCCGCAGGTGCGCCTGCTGGCCGGCTCCGAGGGCGACATCCTCTCGCCGCTCTCGCAGGCCATCGGCCGCTACGTCGGCTGCACCTCCCAGGCGCGCGAGGCCGAATGCGCAACCGCACCTCCCATGGCGGGAGAGGTCCAGTCCACGAGGACACCAGACCACGAGGACAGCTCTCCCGCTCGACAGTCGTCCCAAGCCCGGTAGCGCCCTCGGAGGAGAATGTGCAAGACAGCCTCGCACGCGGGCGAGATCTCCCCACACCTCCCCATACCTCCCCATACCTCCCCATACCTCCCCACACCTCCCCACACCTCCCCATACCTCCCCAGACCTCCCCGTACCTCGCAGGCGGGCGAGATCCGAGAGTACCGCGACGAGGACGGGCGTGTCATCGCGTTTGCTCACGAGGTGCGCCGCGTAGCAACTGCGGGCCCGAACCCAGTCTTTGCCCCCCCCCCCCCCCTCTCTCTCCCCTCTCGCTCGCCGAGCGGCGCTCCAGTGCGTGCACGTCCTCGTCTCGCCCACGGCTCTCGTCTTCCCCTCACAGGTCGACCTCGGGCCGAGCGGAAGCGACTCGTTCAGCGAGCTCAAGCAGCGGTACGGGTTCGAGTCGGTGGAGGACTGGCGCGCGCCGGCGAGCTCGACCACCAGCCACAGTGAGCGGCGCCTCTTGAGCGGCGCCCCTCTGCACCACAGGCACGCCGTGGCGGACTACCGCGGCCCGTTCACGTACTGCGATGCCGACGGTCGCGTCACCGGTCAGGGCCCGAGCTGGGCAGAGCTCGACCCTCCCGATTGGCTCTTTGACGAGGCGTCGCCCGTGGCGGCGATCCAGCGAGCCTTGGCCCTGCGGAGGTAGGGTGTCGGGGGGGTGGAGGCGGGACGCACTGGACAAGGCTCAATACACGCTTTTGGCTTTTTTCGATTCAGGTTTCCCAACCCAATTGTTGAAGCTGCACATTTGCACAATCGAGGGGCTGGGGGGAGTGGGGCGCCCGCGCCAAGGGGGAGAGAATGGAGGGAGGAGAATATGCGTGCTCGTTTTTCTTCGGAAGCAATTTTTTTATTTGCATCGAGTTCGGTAGGCGGCGGCGCGTGCGGCGTCGCTATTTCTGGTGCAGTGGCCATGTCCGAGACGAGCGAAAGCGCTGCTCCAGACGAAAAGCGCGCGTTGCTCCAGGTGGCGATGCAGAAGCGCGCCAAGCGGTGGGCTGCCGCTCGCGGCGGACTGGTCACGCTGCTCACCTCTCTAGAGGAGGAGTGGCCGCATGCATTCGCGGTGCCGGCCGGGCAGCTCGGCGGCGCCGGCGTGCCCCGGCCATGGGTGCCGAGCGGCACGAGCGATCGCGAGGTGGTGCGGGCCTACAAGCGCGCGTCCTTCTTCCTGCACCCCGACCGGCTCGCTGCGGCGGGCAGGGACACCTCGGTGGTCGTAGAGGCGGAGGAGGTACTCAAGGTGCTGACGGAGGCGCACGCCGACAGGAGTGGCTGGCTCACCGATGCGGCGAGTGGCGCACAGCGAAGCCCTCCCGCCGCGGCGGCTCGTGCGGCCGCCGAGGGCTTTGCCGCGCGCGCCGCCGCTGCCGCCGCAGCCTCCGCCTCCGCCGCCTCCGCTGCCGAGGCGAGAGAGCCTGGCTGCAGCCGACAGCCGAGCGGCGGAAACTCGGTCCGCGACGATGTGTTTGGGTGCCCCACATCGCCGCAGCCGCCGCAGCCGCCACAGCCACCGCAGCCGCCGCAGCCACCGCAGCCGCCGCAGCCGCCGCAGCCGCCGCCGGCGAGGGGTTCCGTTCCCGGCAGAGCCGCCGCCGCCCCCACCCATGCGTCCGCGGCGGCGGCTGCGGTCGACGAGCTCTTTGCTGGCGTGTCGCCCACCGCAGCCTCCGCCGCCCGAAGCCGGGGGCCGCCGGCAAGCAGCGGCGGGAGCGTCAGGGATGCCGTCTTCGGGCCCGCCGCCGCACCGTCCCCGCCGACTCCGACGCATCACAACCCGTTCGAGCCGTGTGCGCCGGCCGGGGCTGGCGCTCGCAACCACTCCGCCCCCCTCAACCCGTTTGGCACAGTGCCTTCGCCGCCGCCACAGGGGCCGCGGGGCGCGGCGGGCAACCCGTCGAGCAACCCGTTTGGGGACCTCAGCGCGTTCGACAATGCCCGAAGGGGGCGCGAGGCGTGCGACACCGCCGTCGGATTCGACTTTGTCCCCCCGCCGCGCCGGGCAGCCGCCACTGCCGAGGCGGCAGGCAATCCATTCCGATGACACGGATGTCTCTTGGGGCTTCGGTCTGGGCGCGTGGCGTGTGTAGTCTGTAGAGAGTGATGTGTGGTGTGTAAGCCTGCGCGCGCGCGCATTTGTGCTTTCAAAAGTACATCTCTCAGACAGGCAGAGAGGCGCGTCATTGGTTGAGTCATTCTCATTCGTTTTACTGCGGGTATGGCTCGACACGAGGCGCGTGTGTCTGCTGTATCTCCGTCGCCCCCCGCGCCCCGGCGCTACGGACCCCGTTCTGAGCCCCCTGGTCTGAGCGTCTGACACGACACGTGCTGACAGCCTGACAGCAACCCCCGGACAGCGCCTGACAGCGCCCGACAGCCTGACAGCGCTGACAGCACTTTCTCCGACAGCCTGACAGCACGTATCTCTGACAGCCTGACAGCAGAGTCTGACATCAGAGGTGCTCCATCGCTGTCAGGCCCCAACGTGACAGCCTGACAGCTGCCCGACAGCCCGACAGCACACAGTGGCCTGACAGCAGCGCTGACAGCCCGACAGCCCGACCAGCCCGACAGCAGCACAGACCGTACACAGGCCGTGCAGCCTCTTTCTTGTGCCCCATGAGGGTATAACAAAACTATTACATGCAAAGACATGCACATGCCTCATGCGAGTGTGGTCCATGCAGTCCTGTCATGGGATGGTCATGCTTCATGGGTCTCTCTCTCAACCCTCCCGCCCCACCTCTGCGGACCCGCGGCTGTGCTACAACTACAAATGAAGCTACCAGCTAGCCTTCTGGGGCCCTACAGCCATATGCCTACGGCGGCTGCGGCGGGCACCCGAGCCGACCCCTCCGCGATGGAGCCTTGGCTGCAACTAACCAGGCGCTAACCCGGCGCTATAACCCGCGCTGCTCGGGGCATGCATACGTTAGGACGGGTTAGTGCCGGGTTAGCGTCGGGTTATGATAACCCGTGCTGACCCGTGCTGACCCGTGCTGGGTTAGTGTGGCTTATAACCCCGGTGGAACCCGCACTAACCCGGGTTTACCGAAAGACTCACGCCAACGCACCGCGACGATACCGGGTATAGAAAGATACGGCGCCGGAAAGGCGAATCGAGCGTCGGGTGTTTCTTTTTCTGCTTTTCGCGCCGCTACCCCCCTGCCTGGACGCGTCCCAACCCTGTCTGTCCGATCTTCTGTGCATTCCTAGTTTACATACCTCGAGGTACAAATGCCATTTGTTTCTCGAAGTACATATAAATATCATTTATTTTGTAAATGCGCCTGCGGTGGTCCCGCTTCTCGGCACAGCGGCGGACCCGGGCGAGTAACTAAGGACGTCCCTAACCTGTCACGGACGCGGTTGCAACAGAGGCGCGGAACAGCGCACCATGGCCGATCTCGCTGTGACACACCCCGTCGTCTTCGGCACGTATCGCCTCAACGATTTGCCCGTGCTTGATCTTGCCGTGCGCCAAGCCATCGACGCTGGCGTCACCCTGATCGACACAGCGGTGATGTACAACAACGACGAGGCCGTCGCCAAGATTGTGCGCGACACGCCGGCAAGGGTGGGCACCAAGTTCAAGTTCCCGCGCACGATTGCGGCCGATTTGTCTCGTGCCATCGAGCTCTTCGGGCCGAACCTCGAGCGCGTGCTTCTCCACCGGCCGATGCCTTACACCGCGTATGCCGTGCTAGAGGAGGCCCGTGAGCGCGGCCTGGTGAAGACGATCGGCGTCTGCAACTACTCGTATCGGCAGCTCGAGGAGCTGCTCAGGGAGACATGCGAGCGTGGCTTCGCACCACCCGACATCGTGCAAAACGAGCTGCATCCCGCCCTCAACACCCCAGTGATCGCCCTCTGCTCTCAACACGGCATCGTCTTCGAGGCACATTCAACAATGAGCGCCGCAACGCATCTCGCCCCGATTGCGTCGCGCGCGTCGTCCGGGGTCCTCACGCCCGCCACTCTTGCGCTGCTCCACTGCAAGGCGGTTGGCGCTCACGCGCTCTGCATCACGACCACCAAGTACGAGCACCTGCAGGAGAACCTGAAGGCTTCCGCAACGCCTGAGCCAGCCCGCGTGCTGCAGGAGCTGCTGCCGAAGGATGCGCTCGATGAGCTCGCCCTCCTCCCCTCAACACATCCGAGCTGCCGGTATGGCCGGCAGGCGACTGGCGAGCGCGACTCTGACGCGCCGCACCCTCTGCGCCTGGCGATGGCGCTGGCAATGCTCGAGAAGGACATGCGCGCCTTCCGAGCGGGCGGCGTGCCGTCCGATCTCTGCCTCAGCTTGCCCAAGGTGGCGCGCGCGGCGCCTCGGTCGGTGAATGGCTCGCTTGAGCTGGCTCGTGAGCTCGCCGCCCATATCTTTGGTATCGGCCAGCCGGGTGCCGCCAAGTTTGACGGCCTGCTCACGAAGATGCGCGCCAAGGTCGAGGAGAGCAAGGCGGAGCGGAAGCGGTCAGCCAAGGCGATGATGACGTGCAAGATCGGGCCGGTGGACGCCGTAGAGAAGGCGGAGGAGCTGCCTGTTGACGTCCCCGACGGCGACACCTTCGAGGCGCTCCTGCGTACGCTCGAGGAGGCGCGGGGGCCCGTGGCGCGGCTGACGACCGCGGGCGCACTAACTCGCGACGGCCGTCTCGACCTGTGCAAGCAGGTCGTGCGGCCTCGCTTTGGTGACCTCGTGGATTCGATTGTGGGGGCGGCCCCGGGGGTCGTCGCTCATTTCCTTGTTGGCAATAACATCATCTTCAAGCGCCTCGCGACGACCAGCAACGCCTTGTCCTCCAACGACGCGGACACCGGCACCGACGACGACGCGAGGATCATGGTCGACGCGCATGCGGACGAGCCGCTCTCTCCGTCGTCGCGCGTGGTGGCCGATAATCTCAAGGCCTTCGAGCAGCTGGCGGCTTCGGCCCAGCCCATCCGCACCTTCTACCTCGCCGGCAACGGCATCACTGCCAAGTCGTCGCAGCCGATCGCCGCGGCCCTCCTGCACGCGCGCTCGCTCGAGTCGCTCTGGCTCAAGATGAACCCCATCTCGACCGGCGCGTACCACTTCGGCGCACTGGCCGCCGCGTCGCCCACCCTCGTCCTCCTTGATCTCTTCAACGCGGGACTACTCGACGCCGGGCTCGCCGCGCTCGCGGAGGGCCTCTCGGGCGGCGGCCTACAGCTCGCGCCTCCACTGCAGCACCTTTACCTCAACGTGAACGGCCTGACCGCCGAGGCGATGCCGTCGCTGCTTCAGATCGTGTCTTCGCTTCCCAAGCTCGAGTCGCTCTTTATCGGCGAGAACCAGCTCGGCGACGACGCAGCCGCATTGCTCGAGCGCATGCCCACCCGTCCGCTGCGCCGACTGGAGCTGGGCTCCAACGGCCTCACCGACGCGGCGCTGCCCTCTCTCCTCGCTTTCGCCACGCGCCACCGCGACACCCTCCGCTCCCTCGAACTGTCCTCTTACAAGTCGACCCACTACTTCCGCCTCAAGCCCAATCTGCTGGCATCGACTCCGGCAGGGGCGGACCACCTCGTCGCCATTACCAGCACCGGCCTCGCCTACCTTGGCCTTGACAACTGCTTGCCGTCCCGTGCCGTCGCGGCGGCGCTCTTGGCGCGCCTGTCAACTGGCACAGCAGCGTGCTCCATCAACGCCCGCCAGCGCCGCACAGCGCACGACGACGAGGGCCCTTCCCCGTTGGCAGAGCCTCGCCGCGCGACGGACACATCTGCATTTCTCACCGCCGCCGCCGTCACCGTCGTCAGCTTTGCCGCACTTGGCGCTGTGCAAGCCCGCTCTACAGCGGCGGCGTTGGCGGGGGTGACGGCCGGCCTAGCTGCGGCGATGGCCGGCATACTCGTCGCATCGGGTGCGCTGCAAGCCCCGACAAACGGAAAGTCCACCACAACGCTTGCCGCGGTGACATACGGCTCGTCCACCTTCTCACTGCTGAAGCATGAGACTGAGGAGCTGCAGGCCATCCGCCGCCCGCCCCAGCTGCAGCACATCTTCTCAATTTACCGCAACGCGATGTGAGTTGACCTGCTGCTAAGACCCGCTCGCGTGGGGCGAGGCCGAGGGCGCAGGGGTAGAGTGCGTGAGGACCCTCAAGACGACGGGCGGGGCAAACGGGTATGTACCGCACGGCTCCCCGTCAGCTCGTCCCTCTTCGAGCTGGTAAAGCGAGTTGTGCAAAGTGCGTGCTGTTTTGTTTGCAGGTACATGTATTATTTTGGGCGACCGTCCCGCTAGATCTCGAGCATGCCATGTCGCATGTGCGTTTCGCCCCGCAGCGCACCAGGGTTTCTCGCACTAGATCTTCCTGTGGAGCGCTGGAAGGCGCCCTCTTCGACCAGCCCGAGGGTAGTGACCAGCCCTAGGCAACCCCGTCACGAGGCCCCGCGCTCACGCGTCCGCCTCGAACGACAGCGCGTCGGCCCAGCGGAAGAGGCGCTCGGGCTCCTCCGCCAGCCCTGCCGGCAGCAAGGCGCGCGTCTTGCGCAGCAACGGCTCAAAACGCGCGGTAAACAAGAGCTGGTCAGCGCATCTGCTGCTTAGCGAGGCGAAGGCGAAAGCGTCGCGCGAGTGGCGCTCGAGCGCCTTGGCCGACGCGTCGCACGCAAGCCCCGTCCTATCATCCACCACCATGTCTCGGACATGTCTCGGACGTGTCTCAGACATGTCTCCCGCCCTCATCCACCACCGTGCAGATGCGGGCGACGGGACCCACCCACGCGTGACCTGTGCGTGCGAGAGGGCGTGCGTGTGGCACGAATGCTCTCTACACGCCTCGACCTGCCCCTTGCACGGTGGATGGTCGCGGCGAGCGACCACGGCGCCGCAGACGCGGGAGCACTGGCCGCGGCGCGCTCCACCAGCGCGAGAGCGTCGTCCCACGAGGAGGACTCCTTGCCCTACCAGGAAAGCTCCGAGAAGGCTCCACGCGGGGGGAGAGCGCCGTTCGCCGTGCCGGATGTGCGGGGCCGCCTCCGACGCCGACGCCGCCCGCGCCGCCCCCTTCGCCTCGCCGAGGAGGCGATCCGCCTACCACGCAGAACCTCGGGTGACCTAGGGCAAGCTCGGGTCAACCTCGGGCAACCTCGGAGCTCGGGTCAATCTCGGTCAATCTCGGGTAATCTCGCCTCGAGCGAGCCCGTGCGGCCGAGGCCGCGCCACAGCGCAAGCATCGCAGCCTCTCTCTCCTCCACACCTACGCCAGCAACGCGAGGAGAGGGCTACGAGTGCAGCGGAGTGCAGCACATCTTCTCGAGAGTTGGAGTTCGCCGACCCGCTATTCCGCATCTAGGCCTCGACATAGGGGGGAGGCATCACGCATCTACGGCCCCCGCGCCGCCCGACGCCGCCAGGTCGAGCAGCGGACTGCACGCGGCGGGCTCGGAGCCGCAGAACACCGACAGCCCCGCCACCACCGAAGCGCTTCCGCCTCCCTCCCCGCTCGCCTCTGCCGCCGCCGCCCTCGACGCCAGCAGCCGCACGGACGCCTCGAAGGTTGGACGGGTAGCGCCGCCTAACCTCGGCTCACCCCGGCTCCCCTCGGCTCCTCTCGGCTACCTCTCGGCTCCCCTCGGCTGTCTCTCGGCTGCCTCTCGGCTGTCTCTCGCCTCCCGTCCGCAGGGTGGCCCACACGCGGTAGGCGCGCACGTGCTCGCCGCGCCGCAGCGCGAGCAGCAACGCCTCCTACTCTCACGCGCCACAACAGAGGCGGGCATGAGGCGAGGCGGGCGAGGCACGCGCCGGTGGGCAGCCAGAGAGGGAAGTGCCGCGAGCTGAAGCGGCGGCGGCGGCGGGGTGGGCAGGTCTGGCAGTGGTGCCGCGTCTCCCGCGCGCAGCAGCGGCTGCTCCGGCAAACGCTGCTCCGGCAGACGCTGCTCCGGCAGACGCTGCTCCGTCGCCGCCGCCGCGCGCCACTCGTCGTGGCCTCCAAAGTAGTCCACAAACTCCCACTCCGTGTAGAGGCGTCCGTCAGGTGCGCGCCGCTTGGGCGGCGGCGGCGGCGCGGCGGCGGCGCGCTCGGCGGCGGCGCGCTCGGCGGCGGCGCGCTCGGCGCGGCGCTCGGCCCTCCTCTCTACGACCATCTGGCTCACTGCGTCAATGAGCGAGTAGACGCCCGTCCGCACGGCCGCCTCGCCGCCGCCGCCAGCGCCGCCCGCCTGCGCCTCGCTGCCGCCCTCCGCGAGGGCCGGTGCGGTCCGGTTGACCTAACGGCGGTGGAGGAGGCGGTGAGGGCGGCGGCAGCGACGGCGGTGGCACAGAGGGCGGCAGAGGGATCGCCTCAAACTCGCCGCAGCCCATGTGCAGGACCTCGCCCTTGATCCGCTGCGGGTCGGCCGAGCCGGGCACGTCGTCGGCGGCAGGCATCACGAGCCCGGCGAGCCCAATCGGCACGACCTTTTCGGGCGGCGGCCGCAGCCAGTCGCCGGGAACGAGCTTGAGGATGCGGCCGCTCACCCACGTCCCGTGCATCGTGAACGCGCCGTGCTGGGTCGAGCCGGGGTAGACAAAGTGGAAGACGGCCTCGACGGCCTCGGCCGTCGCCGTCTCCACAGTGAGAAAGAGCCACGCTTTGCTCGCACACGTGTAGTGGCCGACGAAGGTCTGGCCCGCCGCCAGGCCAAAGGGAGGAGACCCGAGACCAGCAGACACTGTGCTCGCTGGGAGGAGGGCGACGATGGTGGCCCAGATCGCGGCGGCGTGCATGCAGGTCGTGGGCCGGCGGCGGCAAGTGTTGCGAGCGTGTGTTGCGAGGCTTCGAAAAAGAATTTTAGCCGTGATTTGGCAAACCAGCTCTCCGCCCGGAGCCAGTAGCGTCCTGCACAGCGGGGCCTCGTGACCTACATCGATGTAGAGAAAGAAACCACACTCGCAGTGCACACACCACGAGATATGGCTGGATGAGCCTTCGGCCAGACGTCTCCCTCCTCTCAAAGTGGTGGCTGGGGCAAGCGCCTCGCTGCTCGACGCACTCTCAAGAGCGACACGAGATGACACGCGCCTTCCCTGCTCAGACACCGCGCCCCGGCGCACACGCCTCGACCTTCTTCGGCAGCAGCTGGTTCGACAAGTCCTCTTCGTGGCCTAGGCAGCCGTGGCCGCCCTCGCCCCAGGTAAACACGGCGCCGTCGGCGGTGAGGGCGAGGCTGTGGTAGACTCCAGCCGACACAGCGACGACGCACTGACCCGCGAAGGCCTCGACCTTCTTTGGCAGCAGCTGCTCCTGCGCGTCGCCGTGGCCCAGCTTGCCATAGCCTCCACTGCCCCAGCTCCAGACGGCATCGTCGGCGGTGATAGCGAGGCTGTGACTGCCTCCAGCCGACACAGCGACGACGCGCCGCCCAGCCAACGCCTCCACCTTCTTCGGCAGCAGCTGGGTCTGCCTGTTGCCGTGGCCCAACCGGCCAGAGACTCCACTGCCCCAGCTCCAGACGGCGCCATCGGCGGTGATGGCGAGGCTGTGGGTGGCTCTAGCAGACGCAGCGATGACACGCTGCCCAGCAAAGGCCTCGATCTTCGAGGAATTTCTTCACCATCGGCAGCGCGTCGAGCCCTCAAGCAGGGCAAGACTTTACGACGCCGACGGCCGCATGGGTCGACGAGAGCGCGGCGAGAGTTAGCGCGACAGCTGAACCGATGCAACCTCGGGGTCGTCCCATCGAGGCAGGCGCGGGCGCATCAGGTCCGCGATGTCTCAATCACGTCAACTCATGGCCAGTCGCTTCCCGATGTGCCCGCGACGGTTTCAGAGTCGCCGAAGGAACGACCGTTTTTATGGCGGGTCGTATCACGAGAGTAACAAACAGGCCCCAAATTACGTGTGAGTGTTAGAGTTGTTTGGTATTGAAATCTCTGCCCAGAGTAACCACACCCCGGAAGAGTTGGAACCCAAGCCAAACCAAAGGCGCGAGATGGCGGTCGTACAGCGTCTCCGCCTACACGGCCCAAATACGGCTTCAGTGTTGGTCAGGCCGGAGCAGGGTTCCGGCTCCTAGCCAGATAGGGGGTCTGCACATGACTCGCACCAAAACGCCCTACCTACCTACCTATTGCGGGCGCCAATCGCCAGGCTCCGTGCCCCACCTACCTACCTATTCCCAGGCCGCGCAGCGAAGCGAAAAAATGCCCGTTAGCCCTCTGTGAATAGGCTCCCAGCGCCCGCCGCGCGCCGGCTTGTACCGCGGTGCGCGCCGCTCGCGAGCCCGCCAGAGCATGGCCTACTGGGCTCTCGAGGCGTTGGACGGCTCCAAAACGGCACTCTCTTCCCTCGACAGAATCTCCCGCGCAGCGAAGCGGTTTTTTTAACCCTCCCCCCCCCACCCCGCCCACCACCACCAGCTACCTACCTATTGCGGGGCCCTCTGGGGCGGTCAAAACCGGACCTACCTACCTATTGCATGGGGTCTAACCGTAGGCAACAGACCCCCTATCTGGCTAGGAGCCGGAACCAGGGCCCGCTGTGTCGCAACCAACCAATCAAAGCGCGAAATTCCTCCGATGTCTGTTGCGGCGCGCCGGCTCGCTTGTTCAGCGTGTACTGCAGCAACTGCAACGAACGGGTGTGTAGAGGTGAGCGCGCCGGGCAGGGATGGCGCTGGGCTCGGGATGGGGCGTAGAGGGGGGCTCACCCCCTGGAAGGGCACGAGGAAAAGATCGGCGCGCGCGGGGTCCTCGACGTTGTGCACGCTCCGGCGGAAGGCCTCCGGGATGGCCAGCTCCGTCGCGTACTGTTCGTAGCCCCCCTCGTACCACGCATGCGAGGCGTCGAGGCCGCGGGTGAGGTTTGGGGGCAGGGTGTATACGTACACGGCGAGGGTGGGCGGCTCGGACGGGCAGCCGGTGCAGACTCCGCTGAACGGGCACGTGGCGACGGCCGCCTCCCCCTCTGGCTGGACTTGCTCGACGGAGTGCCACGGATCAACGGCGGCGAGACGGCGGGTGGATAAGATCTGAGTCGCGACGCAGGTGGTGCTGTCGTACACGGGGGGCTGGACCGGACTTGTGGGCGCCGTCGCAGGGCAGGTGCGACATGATGTGTCGCCAGAACCCAGGGAGGAGCTGCAGAAGCCGTCGCTCGAGGCTTGGCCAATGTCGAAGAGCTTCTTGATCACAATCGAACTTGGCGCCGCGAGCCCGAGACCCTCCATCGCGCCGATG